GCTAGGCAAGCAGACAGGCCACGGTTCATTTGAGGACAGAAGCTGCTCCCTTCCATCATTCAACTGTTCATTAATATCAGCTGTTCCTATGGGTCTCCTTGCAACTAAGCCTTGCTGCACTCTGCAATATCTATCAATATCCCAGCAACACAAGAACACTGCCTATTCCAGAGCTCGGCTTAAAAACTGACCAGCACTCCACAGGGCGTGTTTGCAAAAATAACCGCCTCTGAGATGAGTGATAATAGGGTGCATGTGCCGTGTGCATATGTTATTGACAGTCTGGATGTTTCTGGTGAGGTAGCTAAATTGGTGGTGACGATAAAAGAGGTAAGATTAACATGGATGACTTAACACAGAGACTCTAAAAGTGCAGCTCATGCCGGCCCTCATAGTGTTCTGCTCAGTGTGGGTAAAGGGTTCATTTTCTCAAAATTAACCTTGTCAAACTCCTGTTCTGCCTGGGGGAGATTTGTATTACTATTGCAATTTTTCAATCAGAGATTGAGGAGAGTGTGAAATTTTAACATGCTTGTTCACTCCCTATCCCCCGCCTCTCTCTTACTCCATTTTTTTTTTACTCATAGTCCATTTAGAATTTTAAGCAGATTTCACCCATTCTTATAATAGGATTCTCCCAGTCCTGAGTGTGGTGTGCAGTGTGCTGTGTTTGTGAGTGTATACAGCAAGCAAGAGTGCTCGCTGTATCAACTCAAGCTCGGCGCACTCCACACTCTGCTACTCCAGCAGAAGAGTTCTACTGGGTCAAAATTAATTACAGAAGCTGTTAAGCACACACCAGCTGTTGTAAACAAATGCAAATACATTTTCATTTCAAACAAGCCCCCTTGTATGGCGGCACACAAAATACTGTAAATCTTCTGTGTGTTTACTAACAACTTGGGCTATCGTCAAGCTGTGCTGGCGTTCCTACAGAGAAATTACTCTTATTCATATACACCCAACTGCTGAGAATCACCATCACCACTGTTTTAATTAAGGGTTTTCCCCAGTTTAGTTGCTCCTTTTGCCATCCCTCTTTCAATCTTTACTTTCCTCACACTAAAATATCTCCATTGCTCCATGGCCGGACCTAACTTAACTAATTAATTATTGTCTATAAAATGTGAATAGTGAAAAATGGCCTTCTTAATGTCCCACAGACCAAGGTGACATCTTCAAATATTTTGTTTTGTCTGACCAAATGTTCAAAATCTAAAGATATTCAGTTCACAAAGAGTAAATGTCAAAAACATTAAAATTGTCACAAATAAATAGGAACAAAAATAAAATAAGAACAATGAAAAGGTTCCAAAGCAGCAACAGATAGAGAGACAGTATATATTCAATAATAATAATAGAAATTCATACATTTTTGTTCACTACCAAATATAATACATTTAATTTTGACAATCGGTACTAATTTGTTAATTCTCAGCCATTTAGTAATGGTATGCAACTGTAGATTCTCTCAGCTCCAGTAATGTTGGTGAAGCACAGAACAAAGTTGAGTCATCTGCACACATAACTACATCGGCATTTGTGACAACATATGGTAAATTATTTAAGTGAAACACCACGTTATTTTTTTTTTGCTGCCATTGAAAAATACCTGCTTTATTCTTCCAGAGAGGCAACTCCTTATCTAAGCAAGAGCTGAAAGTGAAGAACTATTACATTTAAGCTTGGCAATAAGAATACTATAGTCAATGACATCAAATCATTCTGGTCATCCATATGAGTTACCCATTGATCAGTGATATGTGCTAATGCAGTGCTAGTGCCCTGATCTATAAGCATGCTGTGCTTTTGTAAGTAGTTCATTCCTGCTAAAATAATCTGACATTTGATTAAAAATTATCTTCTGAAGTGTCTTATTCAGCACAGGTAGTATGGAACCAGTAAAACCTGCGTTTCCATCTTTGGGTAAATATATGATTTTAGACTCTTTCCAAAGCTCTACACAGGTCCCACTGACAGAGCATCTATCAAAAATATGACAAATAGGTTTGGAAAGCAGCCTAGCTGCAACTTAAAACAAGTATACATCCAGTTTATCTATACCAGGAGATGTGTCAACTGAAAGCAACATCTCCTCAATTGCATTCTGGTTAATCTGATCAAATGCAAAACAATATGTTTTATCTCTTATAATATTGCTAACAATGGGGCTACATGTTATGTTGACATAAATTCAAAATTGCATTCAAGATCTTAAGCTGTCTAATTTGTTGAAGAAGTAGATGTTGATTTGCTACATCACAGTTTTCCATACTTTTTAATAACATTTACAGGGCTTTTTGTCTTGATCTCAACTCATCAAGCCAATTGTGCACTACTACTGTACTTTACAGACTTGTTAGTGGAGCATGCTCATCCACTAACTTTTATATGGCCTGCAGTAAACAATCTTAAGTCAACACTTGGGCATTTTAGTCTTTCTTGTTGAATTGATCAAATTACAGTCACTGCATCCCACTGCCACCGATACTGCCTGAAGACAGCTCAAGTATGTTAGTGAAAAGTATGATCAACAGAGGTTAAAGTTAAACACTGTTTAACCCTGTTGAATAAATTCCTGTAGGCTGAGTCACAACCTAGGTAAGATAAAAATCCGTCATAGAAAGCAACTTCTTAGGGCGCCTAGATAGCTTACCTGGGTTGCTAGAGAGCATTTGTTGAACCTTCTTCTCTGCAATGCCATTAATAAAAAAGTTTATCCTCCTGCACTGGTTTTCTATGTTCGGAGGCCCTTCTTGAATCCAATTTCAGCTCTTCACACTTCAGCATTAAATAAACTGGTCTTCAGCTCCTCTACACCTCTAATAACACCATCCATACTGTTGTTACTTCCATCCATGCTCAGCTGAATTGAGTTAAGTTTTCCGGCTGCTGAAGTAACATCTCTTCCAAGTGAAACTCAAAAAGTCTGACTGTCTGTGAGGAAGTTAGCTAACGTGTATAAATGCAAAACAGTCCAAAAGGTTTCCTTGTAGAGATGGCCAAAGACTGGACCATGAAGAAAATGATTAGCATTCTCAAAGCCAGCTAGTTAGCCGGGTTCGCCTGCTACCTCAAGTCCCCAGATGCCATCTGAAACAGGATCCGGTCCAGGTGATAGCCCTAAGTGAACTCCCACCAGTAAGTGCACTGAACTGTCAGCCAAAATCGAGGACCATTCCATGCACAATCATGCTACCAATCCATCACTCACAGAGACTCTTGACTCTCGTCCTTTCCCAGGGATGATTCAACTATTACGCGTAATTATCACACTCTTAGTAGCATCCTTGCTGACAAGCAGTCTTGTTTGTCACTACTTTCATCCAAAGATGAAAACATTACATTATGATGACATAATTGCAACCGTGAAGACCAAGCCTCCATATCTTGCACTCTGAAGCCATCTAATAGCAAGATGATTTAACTTTGGTACATAACAGAGTGTTTCTCAATGCTACTAGTAGAGTTAAAAGGTTTGGCTTAAAATGGATGGTTTTAAACTCTTTGGGACTGTAGGAAAGACAAGGAGAAATTGGAAATGTCATTGTCACTGTTCTTTTCGCCTCCCTGAAAAAGGACAAAAATGCATGACCATTTTCATTTCCAATCTAGATGACTCAATCAACTTTTTTTCTTTTTCAAAATGAGTCTCGTCCGTAGAGGGGAAATAGAGGAGACAAAAAAACTGACATCAAAGGTAATAAAACTATCAAATCTATTTCAACCAAACCTGAAATAGTGCATCAATCCAGCAAAGGTCGAAGGGTAATAGCAGCCACAGACTATTTTAACAGTGCTACCTTACAGTCGTATTTCATTCTCACCATGTGTTTAATACTTTTCCACTCCCCCAATGGTCCCTCTGACTGGTTATCTGTGCTGTTTTGAAAGAGGCCAACCAAACTGTTAGAAAGGCCACCCTCTCTCAGCCATCCAGCAAGCTTGCCCTGCCAATCGGCCATCCTGTTTCCAGACAGCACAGTCATTTCCCAGCCCAGTGGAGCAGCACTCCCTGACCTCTGCCTCGACCTCCGCCTCAACAGACCGAGCTCCAGCACCAGCTCCAGCCTAGAGAGCAGGCTCAGGCCACCTCTACTTATTTATGAGCCATTTCACACAGTGCTGCTCCCATTAGAGACCCAGCCTTGGCCCACCTTACACGGCACTCTCCTTGCACTTAACACATAGAGTACAGCACCAGGGCCAGGGGGGCATGTGCAGTGGGTGGTGGTGGGCGGGTTGAGGACACCATCAGACCTATGACATGGGCACTGTCACACACCCGGCTCAGGATTTCATCAAACAATCAGAAAAAGTCAAACATATCAATCTACTTTGTGGTTAGCAAACATTTCCTGCAGACAGCTGCTAGGAGACCAATCACTCTGGCACAATCTTTTATTACTGTATTTCCTTTTGAAATATGTGTGAATTGCTATTTGACTATCCTCAGGGAAATAATCACCCACTGATCTAATTTAACGATGCACAAGAACTGATGGGTTATGCTTATTGAACCATAATTGGACATTTCATTACTTCATTTCGTTGGAGCTGAACTGCTACTCTTAGCAGGAAACAGACTTAGAAAGACAAACCCAAAAGTCTCCACAGCATAAAATCTGACAGATGGATTCATTCATGAAAACATACAAGACTTTAATATGAAACTCTATCTATGCATGGCTGAAAACAAGATTAGTCTTAGCTAGTAACATTCAAACACTGTAGAGAGCCAGTGAACATTAGCGTGCTTACTGTACATTGACTGAAAGACATAGAAGCTTCTTCCAGAGAAAGAGAGATGAAGACCAACACCCACCTGTGATTGTGACAGAGGCGTAGCCCTCCTCTCCTAGTAGTGGATTGATCAGTCGGCAGCTGTAGGTGCTATTGGGCTCCAGCACAACTGTCAGCACGCTGGTCATAGTGAACAGCCCTTCCTCATTGGCCACCACTGAATTGGTGATATTGTCCGTCAGGTTGCGCCCGCCCCCATCCTGCCATACCACGTCAGCTTGAGGATAACCGCCGTAGGCCGCACAAGTCAGGGCTACCTCATCACCTGGACGCAGATTGGATTCGGGCTCCAAAGTCACTATGGGCTTGGAGTAGGGGGCTGAAAAACAGCAAGAGTACACAGAAAGAAGAGATGGGGGAGAGGTGAGGATTCATGGTCCGAGGGAGGAGAAAAAGAAGTATGGGGTGGGTAAGGGTAGGTGAGGATGGGGAGAGGATAAGGGAGCAGCAGACACATACAGACTTTAGTTAGATACTATGCAGTGAGAGTCACCCTGGGAACTGTTTGACATGATTCCTATTAAATTCTTAATTATATTTAGGGAGCTTAGCATAACACAGTGCTTAAGATCCCACAGACAGCATCTGTGGCACATCCTGATGCTGCATCCTTACACTCTAACACCGCTCCCTCTAGAGGGCCAAAGCACTGAGCCACTCCCAAACAGGAAATACGGTACAAGCCGGCAGGCGGAGGTGGGCAGGCCTGGGAGAAAACTGGCAGGCTCAGAGATTTGGGACGACTCAGCCTATGGCATGGAAAAGAGCGTAGACGGGTGGGGGTGAGGGGTGAATCGTCGGCCTCGGCTGAAATCACGTTTCTCCAATCCCCTGAGCTAAAACAGGAGTACAGAGGTGGCGGAGAGAGACGCTGCTGTATTCCCAGAACCAATCATTGCACAGCAAACAACGGGGTGGAGCTGAGGGCGAGATGAAATAAGTTTGTCTGAGCTGCTTTTTGAAAAGTGGACTCTCAACACAAAGACAGATTTAGCGTGGTACACACTAACTTCCCCAGCCGTCCATTTGACTGACAGGCAAAATTCCATCGAGGGCTCCTTTCATTTTCTCCCAGCACAGCATGAAGGAAGTCCACAATGTTAACTGTAAAAGCCGGCTAAAAATAGAACATCTATAAATCTAATACGTAAAATGGAACCAATTTATCACTGTTGGAGACATTGTTTTCCCTCTCACCAGCCAGGAGAAAAAATTTATTCATTAACACCACCTAATGCACATCCATCCTTGGAGAATACAGGAACAATCTCACAACAGATATAAAAATGGGAGAAGGAAGGAAAGGCACACAGAATCATTATAAATAAATAAAAGGCTCTCAGCTGTGAAGGTGGGCGATGTAGTCGCACAGCAGAGAAGATGTTAGCAGTGGCTGATTGACCATAACAACAGTTAATAATCAAAGTCAGCAGATATTGACCATGACAGAGACCACAATCAGCGCTTATTGACCAAAAACACTGCTCAGCAGCACCGAGGAAACAATTTATCACCTGTTTGCGTCTCATGAGAAGAAATTATCATAAATCGCCTTCTCTATAGTTAACTATATAATACATTTGATTGCATACTATTAGTGTATATGTGTGTATAAGTATGGAGGTCAAGTCACTTTCAATAAAATCAATCAGAAGTATCACTACAATGAAAACACCAGCTAATTAACAGCATGTACCCTTTATCTAGTCACTTTAATTGTTTAGTTCTTGAGATCTTTATAATTACCTTGCAATCTAACATGTGTAGGTGTTTGTGTGTGTGTGTGTGTGTGTTTGTGTGTGTGAAAACAATTATATAATACTTTAGTTCGCTCTAAGGAAATTTGTGATTTTGTGATGAGGTCATCAGAGTTATCTCTCTATCTTGGGCTAGGAGACAAATTATAGAAAGCTTGGACTTTTGAAGATATGGGTATTTACCAGGCAGGAGAAGCCTAACAAAAGATCCTATCATGTTGTATCGTTGGATATGTCCCATATTTTCATATAAATATTGCATATTTTCTTTATCATTCAATTTATCAATAATCTATAAAATCTCGGGCTGGTGGGAAATTGTTTACTTAATGTTGCTTTTTTTTCAAATTTATGCTTGATAAAATGACTCATCGGGAAAGGGAAAAAGGGGAAAGCAATACAACAGATGTAATTTACTGGTCATAAGTGTCCATGTACGCATTCATCGGCACGTCTCTACACGCGTCATGGATTTCACAGCTTGACTCACCGGCAACCTGGAGCAGCAAAGCAGCACTGCCGTAGTCCTGCACCCTGACGAAGCAGGTATAGCTGCCTTCGTCAGCCACCACCACCCTGCGCAACAGGAGCGAAGTGTTGCCCAGGCCCAGCTGGGCGGGGAACAGGCTGGTACGGTTGGCGAAGCTCTCGGCCTGGTCCGCCAGCTGGTCGTGTCCCTCCCTGTACCCGTGCACACTGCGTTTGGTGTCTGTCAGCTGCCAGAAGACGGTCAGATCAGTCAGGTTGAAGGGGGTGGCAAGGCTGAAGGAGCAGTTGAGTGTGGCATCCCTGCCGTGCAGAGCCACCACTGGCTGCTCCGGGACGTGCACTTCCATCACAGCTAAAAGAGAAGAGATGGGACATATGACTGATGTCAGTTCTTAAAATTCTCTAAATTAAAAAACAAAGACAAAAAAAACACAAAAACATTGCGTTTTACCTACTTATACAGAGGGATGTGTTGTCGGGTAAGTTTGTCAACCACAGAAAAATGTATTAAATACACAAAACCTTTGTTGCAATCATCTCAACTCCGCAGCCTTCACTGTGTCAATCTTATATACCAAACATCACCCATCTGTCACCTAGGTAGTCTAAAATAGACAATAAACAGTATTAGTAAATACTACTTGGCCCTAGTATAAACATACAGTATTCACTGAATCACAGCATTAATTCAGTGTGTCGTGTTCAAATATGACAGACTGACACCTACTCAAATTCGAATGGCTTTGAAAAAAAAAAAAATCAATGCAGCATTTTGAAATGTATGCTGTGTGACTGCTTCAGAAACATCCACTTTGTTTGTGCAGCATGGTAGCACGGAGCGTGTGAGACGGGATGAAGGCGAGAGGGAAGAAGAGGAGGGATCTGGAGGTAAGCATTAGGACTTTGTTTGTGTTCCTATAGGCTTTGCCTCCCGGCGATAGCTCAGTGCGCTGAAACTCAGCAATGGAAGCAACAACATCTGTATAGTATTTAGTTAAATCGTTAAGTTGAATAAAAAAAAAAAAAAACCTCTGTCGGGGGGAGCAGTATAACTGCAGCAAAACTCTTGGGTGTGTGTTTTTGTGGGAATGAAAAGTGACTTCACTCCTCACCAAAGGCTTCCACTCAAAGGTTGCTCGTTTTTTCTGGGCATATGTATGTGTGTGTGCCTGTGTGTATTGTTTGTCTAGACTAGGCCAAGAGCAAAGAGTACACTGCATAATCATTCTGGATTAGTAGCCATCTCAGGCAGTCCAGAGTACATCCATAGTAGTCAGCATTCTCCATTGATCCCTGTCTGCTCTTATACAACTCTGGAGACACTCATCAGCATCACAGGGGAGAAAAAAAAAAAAAAAGCCAGTCGGCTCCTGGAGCAATACACTCTACTTTATGCTCATCCTCTCTAATTGTTATAATCACAGTGGCATTTTAGCCCCTCGCCCCTTTTTGAGCTCTGTCTATCACACAGCCAACGTCAATGTTGAATCGCTTTGCTATGAAGGAGATTTGACTGCTGCAGAGGTGCAATAATTACTTCCTCTATCAACAACAAACAACTCTTTCATCTGAGAGGGTTCATATATGGATGGGTGTTGCTAAGTCAAGGCAGACCTATTTTCAATCACATTCAGCCATTCCCAGCAAGGTAGCCTCTCCACATCACACCCTCAGCAACCCGCTCATCTGTAGGAACAGTGCCACCTACTGCCTTACTTCGCAGGTGCAGAGAAGTGCGACAGAAAAAATGCACAGATCGCTGTCCAAATACCCCATGTAAACCTAAACCTAGACTCTAAATATAAATCATTTAACAGTTAGGATCTAAAATATTTAAACTGTAAAATATGACATACATCTTTTCTTCCTCCAATACTGCATCAAATAAAAATAAAAACAAAAAACATCATAAAAACTGGAATACAAAACCGCCTGTTTTGCTATATATAGTCTACCACACCAGTGTCACTGGTTCATGTGTCGGCATTACTATACTTTGAATGAAAATGTTGCAACATAATTTTGACCTAGAGCAAATCAAAGCCTCCATACCAACCAGTTACACAACAATTCTCTGACCCCCATGGTGAAAACCGCAGAGGGTTTTCCCCTTTACTGGGATCACAAAAGCTCTTCTGGTGCTGTGGGGGTTTTCTATCGCCCCATATTGTGCCCACATTCACTCGGGCTGGGCTACAGCACGGCAAACAATACAGAGAGAGTTATCAGGGCAGAGCATGGCAGGAGCAGGCAGCATTGTGCCGCCATCAATAGGGATAACTGAGCAAATTTCTGGAGTGTGTATTTTTGCTGTCTTTGGAGGTGGCCCAACCTTTGCGGTAATGAATAGGTCGCGGGTGTTTTTTGTAGGAGTGGAGGGTCAGTGACAGCCCTCTCCGAGACGTGCATGCTGAAGGAGGAGGAGAGAGAGCAATTAAATCACTCCCCGAGCAGCCTGAGATGACTCACACCACTGAGTTCATACAGGAAGGGGGAAGGGAAACAGAGAAAGAGAGGCCGGCGTCAAGCTCACACTTAAAGATAATATCTGGAAACAAGCCAAGACAGAGGTTGTGGTGGAGCCTCACATACTAATCCCTCAACACGGACCAAAGCCATGTCAGACAGGACAGAGAGATAGAAACTCCCTTTCTCATTCTACATCCCTGCCTCCTTCTCTTTCACTCACTGCTTCTTAAACCGGTGACCTACCAGTCGCTCCAAGGCCCTGGGAGGACGCAGCTCTGCACAGAGACCTTGTGTAGAGACACCGACCTGCGCTTGAAAAGAGAATAGAAGGGGAGCATTTTGCATTGCAGGGGGAGGGGATTGGTGAGGAGAGGAGGGCAAGCTAGGCCAGCTGACGTCATGGAAAGCGCACATCTGATGTCCCATTCGTCAGAGGTGAAATACCACGAGCCAAAGCGAATCACTGCGCACTTGGCTGTTTTTGATATTCTGCTGTTTACCACAAACAGCGTGTTCCGTACCGCAGCTGACTGTTTGATCGTCTCTCCTTAGGTCTGCTCTCGACATGAAATAAACATGCATTCTCCAGAGAGACAAGTGTAAGAAGCCGAGGTGGAAGATTATAACACAAGTGGTCTTTGGCGAGGGGGCCGGGCTGCACCTTGTAGCCGGGGGGCCGCGGTGTCTTCTCAGGGGGTAAGTGGGAGATCTCACCTCTCCCTCCTCCCTCTCGATAAAGAGATGCTCAGGAGCCATAGAGGGCAGGGTGGGAGACGTCAGGCAGTGGGGATTTACACACTGCACTTTGTGTTTATGGGCCTCAGCTCTGTTTGAGTGCCTGCGAGACAGAGACGGGCACTTTCACAGCCGACATGAAATAAACTCATTACAGCCTTCGCGAGCGTTGGCAACGGGCCCTGCTTAGCAGCGAGGCACAGGGATGGGATGGCTAGAGAAGGCTGCAAGTGATCTTCATACCGCTCTCCACTCTACTTTCAAGACTACCCACCACCTTGTCACTATTAACACCTCCTTCCATCATGCTTTCCCCAGGTGCGCGTGGCAAGGGTGCTGCTGGATTTGCTTCTACCGTGTTATTTGTATAGTAAGCTGATGCTAGCTAGGCACACGAGGTGAGCATGGAGGCTGAGTGCGAGACGGAGACAGCGTGGGATGCGAGCAGACATCAAATAGGAGGATCACAGCTTTTATAGGGAGGGTGCTTGCAGGGTGACAGCAAGGCTGTTGGTAAATAAAATCCAGTGATATCTCCCATCATTCTGGCAGATACAGACAAGTGAGTGTGCGCATACAAGCACCCACATGCACTTTAAAGATACTATACTATGTGCACAAAACAGCATAACTAGACTGGGATTATTGGCCTTTACTAGTCTGTGTAGTTAAATGTTGGTGTATGTTTTAAATAAAACAAAGCATACCTGTGTTGA